GACATGTTAAAAGATATTGCTCTCTCTTTAACTCCCTTTACAGGACTTTGTTCACACATTAAATCATCATAATAATATCATTTCCTATTTTGTTATGGTTTTACTTGTTTCCAAAAACAAGATTAAAGTTTACCATTAATGCACCATCATAGTATAATGAGCATTAGTCTTGAATGTCCAAAACAAGATAATTAATCCACTAGGGGAACATATAGTATAATCTAGAATTTGATCAAATTGAACAACCAAGTGGTCCAAGTGCACATAATTATAATAATAATGAAGCATGTTATTGCAAGGACAATATTTTAATATAATAAATGGAAAACCAAACAATATTGTTAGTATATCTAGTTATATCTACTATGGCTTATAGGTTTTATTAATAGTAGCCCTTTCTCTGTCTCTCAGGTCTTAAACTTTCATCTGATATGTCACCCTCTATACTGAATTGTATAGTCACAATCACCTTAGATTCTCTCTCTTATATATGTGCTGCATAAAAATCCATTAGATTTTAGTATTTGTTATTTTAAAAAATCATGAAACACACTAGATAAACATTCATTAAACGCTCGTTTGACACAATGTACAAGAATAATATTGAATAGTGCGTTAATATTGTTGATATTAGTTAGCTTGCATTGATTATTCAGAAATTATTTCTTATACCATATTTGATTTGTTGTATTAAAAATAACATGCATTGCATGTATATTTTTTTAAAATATTGTTTTAAAAAGCACCCTCCATGGATATAAATAAAAAAATCGTGAAAAAGGTTCTGAGGGGCAGCTATGGTATTATCCATGCTAACTTAGGCATTAAACTAATTACAATGCTTATATCATGGTTTTGCATGTTCTTTTCTCATCTGGTGTCCAACTTTCGATATCATTGAAACTCTCGACTAAATTCATATTCGCTCTGAAAAGTACCATAACATAATATCAAATAGAGTGTGCCAAACAAATAAAGTACGTTTTATAATACATAGAATTAATGCATACATTATTTTTTCTTTATGTATCTTACCAAACGACCCCTAAAACCACCAATAACAACAAACTCAATATAATTTTATAGAAAGAGTTTGAAAAGAATAAAGTACACACATATTTTATTCCTATTTATAAATAGATTATTTTCGATATACATTCTCTAAAATCATAAAAGTAATTAACCACTAGAAAAAGTTCAAAGAAATCCACTAGGTCATAGGCAAATTCCTTTCAAAGGTTAAAAAAAATATCCACTTAGATACAAATTGTGACTTTAATGTTATGCTGATGCAATGGGCCTGAAATTCCCCTTTAATAATACTAATGTTCACTATACTACTACTACTACTTTTGTTTTGTAACCACTTTCACTATAAAGGGATATAAGACTATAAGGTTTCTTTTTCCAATATGGTGTAAGATGAATTATAAGGGCAAACATGTACTAATGCCTTGCCACTTTCCTCATTAATATCTTTGCTACAAATACACAATCACTTTTTTTCTTTCTTTCTCCCTAATAGCTACTATAGTATAGTCTATAGTACCACAAGTTTAGCACTAGCTAAAAAGAGTACTTTGATTTTACATCCACTTCTTTGGATATTTTTCTTTCAAATTATACCCCTCCGTTTTACAAAGAATGACCTAGTTTGATTTGACACGAAATTTAAGAAAATAAAAAAGACTTTTGAATCTTGTGGTTTTAAATTAAAGTTATGTCAAATTTACAAAATTGCCCTTTAATCTTATGGTCTTAAACATGTCACGTGGAAAGCTGAAATTAAAATGTTACAAAAAAAGAAAGAGTTCATTCTTTTTGAAACAGACTAAAAAGACAAAGAGGACATTCTTTTTGAGATGGATAGAACATGTTTTTTCCCCTCCTCCTTGTTTTTATTGTTTTTTTTAAAAAAAAAATAATCTAGTTACCATCCAAAGTCTTGATAATTTTGGTTTAGTTTGGACTACTTTCTTAGGTAATTTAATCGTAACCGAGTGTTGTGGTATAATGAATCAGATCATTCTATTCTTAGGGGACGTTTGGTTACTGGATAAGGGTAAAGTTAATACATGAATAATTTGGTTATTCATGTATTAATTTTATACCATGTTTGGTTTGTAAATAGAATCAAAATTATTCATGTATATATTTTATACAATGTTTGGTTGGTGCGTCTCTAAATGATGTATAAAAATTATTCATGTATTGATTTATGTGGTGTTTGGTTGCATTTTTGTAATTCTACATAGCTAATACTCACATAACTTATGAGGAAATCTATGTATAATAAAATTACATATTTACCCTTAATTTGTTTACTTAATTATTTATTTCTAAATCATTCTATTTCATATCCACCGATCCGTGGAAGAGACCAAGGAAGAGTAAGATAGATTTAGGGCCGGTAGGTGGGTCTAGAATAGATTCCCCATACGAGACTCACCTTTGGATTTCGTCTCGGTAGGTGTATTATTATACGAACATTCATATTAATATTAATTCACAAGATTAATGAGTAATTTTTTATTTATTTAAAAAGGACTGGCCTAACTCAAATTCTTTTAGTTTCATGATTCCCTCCACCCCATACACACAAACAAACCCAAAACTGTTTGCCCCCGACCCCGACCCGAACTGTTCCATTTTATTATTTGTGCACATCATAGTATAGATTTCTGCAACGCATCACACTATAGATTCCCCCCACCCTCACCCCCTACAAGGGCCTGTTGCAATTTATCTTGGATACAAGCTTTATAATTTTCTATTTAAAAAAAAAACGTGTATTAATTTACAATAAATTAAACAATCAATAAGTAATAATATATGTATTATAATACCTACCTAACTAATATTTGTATAATTAATACCTACATAATCAATACCTGCATAACTAATACTCCATATCTCTAACTGGTAACCAAAGACCCCTTAATGATTAAAAGAATTTGACTTTAATATTACGTATAAAAAAAAAAAGGGAAAATTTCATTAGGAGTATTATATTTAGCATCCGTTTTTGTGAAGAATAGCGAGTTCTTTTTAAAACGAAAGTGGCAGCATTTTCCTTTTGAAATATAGTAAAATATATTTTATTCACATGTATTATATACAAAAAAGCTCAATTCTAATTGAAATAGCGCTGTTACATTATATATGTTTGTAATTCAACTAACATTTAATTTAAAAATATCTTGGTCGAGAGTGCTGCGAGTAGTGTACAACAAATGGAAAATTAGAAGAAAAAATTAATCATGATTTTCATACAAAGTCAAATACAAAGGTCAACTATTTTATAGCATATAATCTGCAATTGTCAATTCGATGAAAAAAAAATTAGTACCTCTCCTGTTTCTTAATTCGTTTTAAAAAAAAATAAAATTTGATAATATTTTAATTTTAATTTTGGACGTGATTCGTTTAAATAACAAATTAATAAACATTTTCACTTTTACAAATTCATGATTGAGAAAACTTTTTTATTTTTTTAAATTTCAAGTAGAAAATTATTTCAATTTTATGAAATTTGAGTTTCTCGATAAATCAGAAATTACGGGAAGTTTGAGTTGAAACACAATTAAGCATTGATATAATGTGATGATGATGATGACTAATTTAACACCAAATGAAGACATGACTGACCACTAAATCAATCAGAAAAAGGAAAAGTATTAGGAAAAAAAAGAGAGTGCAAAATTCAAAAATAATAATTTAAAAAGGAAGTCAGTCAAACAAAGATTGATCTGACATCACTATTGATAGAAAGAAAAAGATGGCAAATTTCAAAACTGAGCATAGGCAGTGAGTAGTGGCATTTCTTAGCTAAATAAATATCCACTTGATGGAAACCCTACATCAGACCCTTTGCTAATAAACAACATTCGAATCAGCTTGTGTATATCTATCTCAATTATTTAACATAATATCCAGAGTTATGTAGAACAACAACAATAACATATCTAGTGTCATTTTTACAGGTGGAGTCTAGAAAGGATAGTATTTACGCAGACTTTACCTCTACAAGATAGAAAGACTGTTTTCAATAGACCCTTGATTGAAGTAATAACAATTTGATAGAAAAAAAACAATGAAAGTGAAAAGCTAAGACAATGCCTAAGAAAGCATCACAAAAAATGGAACATACACTACAAAAAAAATAAAATACGATAGTAGAAATGTAATAACAAGAAACTCCTAGAGTAATAGTTCGACTACTAAGCAAGCCACCGAGACTTAGGTAGATAAGAAAAAAAAAATGACCGAATGCTATACTTGAACAATGTTCTCCTATAATTAACAAAAAAGAGTTAACACATATAGTTATCTCTGTGTGAGCTACAAAACACGAGTAGCTAACGACTACATCTCATCTTCATGGGCTGAAACCCTTCCTCAAACTATACGTAAACGCATAATATTTTGTGCACCGGAGTTACTAAATTCAACTGACGGCAAGTTGACAATGCATTCTTTTGTCATAGCCTCTATTATACTACTTAGTCACTATTCATACACTGTTTGGCCGACCTACCTACATTAACATGTTGCATAGGCCCTTTGCCACCCAGAAATAATGCAGCAAACGTCTGTCTCATCACTGCAAATCAAGATTCTAAAATATTGTTGGATTTTTCTAACAATATTTTATGCACTTATTTTCTAACCTAATTCTAGACAAAGTTATGTAGAGAAACTGAACACAGCATCTTCTACTACTCATACATATGTGCAGACATCATATAGCAATGATTAAAGGGTAAGTTGGTCGACATATTAGCATTCTTGGTTAAAACATGACTTCACAAGCATTTGGCACTTTCAGAAATTAGTTACTCACAAATTCATCTCATGCTATCTAGTGACGGAGTATATACGAGAATTTGTTTTTAAGTTACTTGCACAGTATAATTTTATAGGCGACTCAAGGACATTAAGAAGCAGCATCAGCAATATGCTTTCAAGAATGAAATATTGATAAGTATATATATGCCCACCATTTTCATGCACCAATTTAATCTGATTTCTCAAAAGTATTTGGGATGTATGGCCAAACACTATCTAAGTAACCTGTAGTTTATTGAGGAATGGATGGAAACTGTATTTTCTTCCACTGTTACTCAGACGAACGAACTACATTGATCTACTTATAATGAGAAATGACATGTACATACTAGAAAATTTCCGTTAGAATATAATCAATAATACCACGTCACCTGCACTGCTACCACACAATCACCATCTTCTTACCAATGATGTCAGCAACTGCAACAAAAGGATATTTTTCTTAATATATACAGGAACGATACACGCCTATGTTTTACACCGTTACTGCATACATTCATGTTACTGGGAAAAATAGCCGAAGATGGCTGAAAAATTGACTCTGTATATAATCATGTGCAAAATAAGCATAGAAAGAAAACGCATGTCTACACCCACTCCTTTTGTTCCCCCTCTTAGGTGAACATGAAGAATTTCTAGTAGGCTAAGAAAACACCGAGTTTGTCCAAGAACAACAAAAAAGTGAGCAACTAAATGATATTATCAACTCTGCCTGAGCTCTTACACAAAAATGATCAATCGTTAACCAATTGTTGTCACAAGAAAATTAATCAAACTTCTTATTCCACCAGTTTTACAGTTTATTTCATCTTAGGGTTTAGTTCATGGGAAAATATAAGGCATAACAATCAAGATGCAAATAAAGTTCCATGACTTAAGTCAGGGGAGGAGGTAGGCTTTATCATATCAGTTCGGCAAAACCAATGGATTTTGCCCAAACATGAACAAAAAAATAAATTCAGAACTCAGTTATTAACCCTTAAGATCATTGTCCTAGAATCCAAAATCCATACAGGTTAAATCTTGGATCCTATCTGCCTTTAGTTCAGAGGGAATTAATTTGGTAGTTCAAACAGGCTAACCATGTTAGGAAAGGAAGAAACACTTCATACAAACAGCTATCACACCGTTAATATCCCCAAGTTACTGATTAGACAAGAGAACTTTACCTCAAGAAATTCAAAAGGGTTTCCACTCTTATAAACATCATTCTTCTTCAGCTTGTCTGTTGGTAAAATGCTGAACAAGAGTGTCCTCCATCCAATGAGTAATACAGCAGTACTCCCCATGGTAACTATTATGAAGTTGACTGGTGGTATATGACCCACAGAGGCAGCCCTTAGAGCTATACCCACCTGCAAAATAAGAGAAGCAGAGAGTAAATAAGAGTCAGCTCACAATCAAGAATCCTTGACCCCAAGAAACGGAAGAAAATTGATAGGCTGATGCGAGTATTTTAGACAAAATCCATGATCAAAGTCATGCTCCACACAAGTGGAAGGGACTGAGACCTGTCTACCTATGTAACCTTATTTCTAAAATTGCATCACATTTTACTAATCTATACACTTATGTTTGCAGTGAACAGTTTTTCATGCTACAATCATAAAACATTATACCATGTTCAAGTTTAAACATACAAATAGTTAGGGATGGCAATGGGGCGGGGCGGGAGTGGAGCGGGGTAGGTTATGGTGTTTGTGGGGCGGGGTGGGTTAAAGCTTTTGCGGGTGTGGGGCGGGTTGTGGGTTTGAAAAAAAGATCTTTTCAATTCATAGATTCACACATTTCATACCAGTTTTGCACGTTTTGGGCACTGGCCATATGATGAATAAAAGAGTTTTATGAAAAAACTGTTTGGAGTGGCCAAAAACTAGAAAGAAGAAAAAAGTTAGTAATCAATTCAAAACTATCAAAAAACCGTTACAGACATGTTTAAAAGAGTTATAAAATTGCATTATAGAGCTAGACTAACCTATTAATTTCAGCAGTTAAACAAAAATATTACGCAATTAATATATTAGAAATTTTAAGTTAAAAATGTACTGAATTCAGTATTTTAATTTTTTTAAGAAATTATGTGGGGCGGGATGGAACGGGTTTGTGCGGAGCTGGATAAAAACAACACATCATGTTATGCAGGGTGGGTTGAAATCTTAGCGGGTTTTCCCCGCAACCCCCCCACACCGCACCATTGTAATCCCTACAAATAGTTTCCCGAGACAAAGAGGTAGCACACATGATAGGTAAGACACGGAAAATGTCAAACAAATTACGTAATTGACAGAACTACTTCATCATTCCATGACTATAATGAAATTAGTGCCCACCGAATCAAGATTCGAGGAAAGCTTCAGACTAGAATGTGGTAGTCATCTACCAAACTCTAATTGAAGGCCAAAGGTTGCCTAGTAAGTTGACAATAACTTACCCACCAGCATCCATGGAAATGTCAAAGCAAGCATTGCATACCAAATATTAAGAAAAATACTACTTTAAACAAATATAACCCTATAATTTTACCAAAGACAGTAGAGAGTGAGTGCAACAGGGGCAAGATCCCCCCATGTCTGATTTGTTACTTCTTACTACTCAAATCAAGACTTTTCCATTGCCATTTACTTGACGCAAGACAGCATCTTCCCAGCCAACACCACTGAATAAATTAATATTCTTTCTTACTGTTGCCACTGCTGTTATTACATGGACTTGTGACGAAACTTAGGCAGAATTTCACTAACCATATATATTTCTTCCAATCGGAAAAGTTGCAATATATCATATATGAACACCTAATTGTAAACATTGAACTAAAACACCAATTTTCACAAAATCATTTAACACTTCAAGCACCAAGCAGTAAAAAAAAGTGACTTGTAGATGAGAACTAGGGGTTTTATTTCTTACAAGAGTTTGTCCAATGAATCATAAGCAGAATGACTTAACCATATATCTTTGCCTCTCAGAAAAGTTTCAATATATAAACACCAACTTGCAAAAATTGAACTAGACTGCCAGCTTTTACAAAATTAGTTAAAATATTCTAAAATTAACTACCACATGACGAGGGATTCACCAACTCCATCCCCTTTATGAAATCAGAGTCTCGACCATAAATCTTGTGTATCTATAATTTCACTATCTTTTAGAAGAGAATCTAGTGACTATTAAATCACCTACTAGATAGTGGAAATTTTCATCCATAGATTTCTCATTGTTATTTTGTTATTATGTCCACAAACATCAAGTCTATCGGAACAACCTCTCTACCTCTAAGGTAGGGGTAAGGCCTGTGTACAGTGTACACTCTACCCTCCCCAAACCGCACTTTGTGGGACTACACTGGGCATGTTGTTGTTGTCCATAAACATCTAAAATTGGTCAGTGTATTACTGAATAAAATTAAGATTAAGTACATGTCACAAATTCTTTCCTTTGCAACTAAGTGTTTCTTTCTTTCTGAAATGATAGTAAAGCCAATGTTCTATAAATTCGACTCCACCCAAGCAAGTTCCAAGTTTTAATATCTAGCTCTGTGGTAGTTAAATAACAACCAGAGCTTACAACTACTCCTAGTTAAAATGGTGAAATGGAGGCATTCAACCAAGTTTTTAAATTTCCGAGTTAGACAAGTTGATTATCTAGACTTGTAAATAGGAAGCCCGGATAGTCAAAAGTTCAGTCACTCATATGATGGATTTCTTTGGTATCCACCAGATAATTAAACTAGCCCACCACAACATCCATAAATTACAGTATCCAATCAGCTAGAATGTAAAGAGGACTTACCGGAATGCCTAATGACCATGATTTAGTAGCAGCAATGAAAGCCTTAAACAGACCATTCTTTCCTTTACCATCCTCCCCAAATCCTCCAAGGAAATACGCACTCAAAAACCAACCTAAAGAACCCACAACCATCATCAAAAATTCGAACTTTATGTTCAAAATTCGGGATAAGGCACAAGTACCTCTAGATTACGACCGAAATCTCATAGACACACCTTTAACTAAACTAAGGTCATATTACCCATGAACTCATTTTTTGGTAATTTTGTACATCCTTTGACTTACGTGGCACACTCCGTGACTCCACTTAGTAGAGACACATAGGAGATGTTTGGATGCCGCATAGGTCAAAAAGGTGTACAAAATTACAAAAAAATGGGTTCGGGGTAATAGGACCTTAGTTTCGTTAAGGTTTATCTACAAGATTTCAATCATAGTCTAGGGTACTTGTGCCTTATCCCTTCAAAATTACATAAAAACTTCAAAACAGAAGAATAACATCACAATTCCCTTACCAGCAATGAAAGGGTCAGCAGTTCGCAGTGTTTCGGGGTCAAAAACAGTGAACCCATGACTGAACCTTCCAATCGCAGAGAACAACAACAAAACCGCAACATCTCCACCAGCTAACAACGCCACCCAACTGAAAATAAAAACCCAATTCAACAACACAATCACATAAACAAACTGATCCAAAGCAACCCAATCAGATAAAAAACGCACAAAAACAACTTACCCCCATTTATTGATTTTATCACTAATCGAATTAGAATCGGGTTTCTCAAACTGAATAACACCTTCCAGAGGAACACTATCTTGACCCACGAAGGAAATCGAATCCTCTGGGCTAAAAGAAGCTGACCCATTACTGGAATTAGACGATCCAGCAGTACTAGTAGTAGCAGTCGAAGCTTCACGAGGTGCACCGGCGCCGGAAGAAGAAGACTCTGCATTAGCTAGAGTGATGGGTTTTGGTCCATTTTTTGAGCCGTGAATTGGGTTTTTAGTGGAAATTTGAGTGGGCCGACGATGGGAGAAAAGGGGAGGAACTGGATGGGTGAATGTGAGGGAACAACGATGAGTCGCCGATAAAGCTCCGGCGGGAGCTTGGGCAATAAGGCTCATTGTTCCCACAACTTCCATTTCGTGGCTATCGTTTGATAAGAAGATTCCCGTTTTGGGAGTTTTGGTTTAAAATATAAAAAAAAAATTGGGACATTGTCAGCCTTGGAAAGGGTAAGGCTGTATTTGCCAGAAAAAATTAAGTGGTTGGAGAGAAAACCTAAGAAAATAATTAATTTTAGAAAAAACCCAACCAAAAGATTTGGAAAAAAAATAATATGTTGACAAGTCATAATTCTTGTCTGTTTTCTTTAACTGCCCTTAAATTTTGTAAAATGATTTGAATTGATCTTTCAATAATTGAGGTTAAATATACTGTAAGGCTTAGAAATTGTATACGGTCAGTGATTGTAGTGTTTGATGATTTTGAACTTAGATTATGATAGTTGAGACTATTAGTAATCCATAAAAACTTTTGAAAAGATAATTTATACTGTGAGATATTTATGCATACTTTAAAAAATCTAAATATATTGTTACTCTCCGAATTACTGTCGGTTCTCAGTGAAACCCCTGTCGATGTGTGATGGTACCGCTATAACAGAAGGATGCTCATCATAGCAGTCTCAACCCAGTCAAGACCGCTACAAAGTTTAAATAACAATGTTTATATGTAATATAAAAAAATAAAAAATAAAAAAAATCTCGTATATCAATTTCTTACTTTTCTCGTTAACAAAATACATTACTATATTATAGAAGACTTTAGGAATGACTACCATTGTGTCAATAAGATCACTATTAATGTCCAACATATTTATAAAATATATAAGTGGGCTCCACCACCTTCCACTTAAATACTACATATTATATATTATTAATTACTATACTATAATCACTACTAATATCCAATATATTTATCAAACTATATAAGTGGGCCCCACCACCTTCCACTTAAATACTACATATTATATATTAATTAATATACTATATATGACTTAAATACTCCATATTATCTATTACAATAATTAACAATTATTTGACACTTTCAATTCTATCAATGCCATATAAATTAGGATAAAAAACCTAAGATATAATACTTAAATATATTTAAAAATAATATAAGTAATACTATACATTACAATAATTAACAGCTTAATTATTTAAAACTTATATAAAAAATTTAATTGACTCTCTAAATTCTATTGTTACCACATAAAATGGATTATATAATAAACATATATTGTTTGAAATTGACGAAAAAGAAACAATAAATTACAATAATTCATAAAAAAATAGTCCACTCCAAAAAATCTATCAATTAACAACATATATTGTTTGAAATTGACGAAAAAGAAACTATAGATTACAATAATTAACAAAATAAATCTCTCGACTCCAACAAATCTATCAATTAATGCCACATAAATTGGGACATGGCAAATAACATATATTATTAAAAAATTAGGTTCAAAATGTACTATAAAATACAATAATTAACAACTTAATATATTAAAGAGACATATAAAAAATGGTTAATATTTGAAATTCTGCCTGTGCCACATAAATTAGAACAAAGAGAGTAATAAATATTATTTTCAAAATTATGTAAAAAAAAAAAGTACTACAAATTACAATAGCTAACAATTTAAAATATTTTAAAAATCATATAAAAATTTCAATAACTTCTCAAATTCCATAATATGACATAAATTAAAATAATAAAATAATATATATTGGACCCCGGCATGGGGTCCTATATCTAGTAGTTTGACAAGAACTTAAGAAGTCGTTTTCTTTCTTCTTTATTTTCGTTTCGTTAAGAGCCGCACATCTACCTTTGTTTACCATTGGTGTTGTCATTTGCTCGGTAACGAATTAATCAATTATTATAATTTCCTTATTTATTTTAGGACTATTTTGTCTTTTGTGTAGTTTCCTTGAAATAGAGAAGGAAAAAAAAAATGTCAATTGATTAGAATTTGAATAATTGACAAGTGGAACCAAAGAAATTTTTTTTAGGACAATCCTGGTTTACCAACCACACAATGTCTAACCATATCCAATTCTCTCTCGATATGTTCCTCAAAAACCTTATTAGTTTTTTTTGTGTTTTAAGCAATGATTGATTTAGGAGGGGAGAGGGTATTCACCCCACTCCCTCGATAAATGTTTACATTGTATATATGATCTTTTAGTGTGTATATATAGAAAGAGATTTTGAATTCTCTAGACACAAAACTAGACGTTAACTCAGTGGTTTAAGAAGTGGCTGAGCCAAATTTTCAATAAGGGGTTTCAAAATCTAAAAAAATAGGCACACGAAGTAGCCGAAGGGGGTTCGACATCTATTATATATACTTAAAAAATTATTTTAACTATGTATAAATCATATGATTTTTCGCCGAAGGAGGCTCGGATGAACCCCTCATTCTAAGGTGGTCCCGCCACTGGGTTTAAGGGTTTAAAATTCACGGTTAGGTTCCAAGTTCAAAATCTAGACACTATATTTTTATTTTTCAAACCCCCTTAATGAAGTACGGCTATTTACTTATTTTTCAAACCACAGCTAAAAACTCATAGCAGGCCTGAAAACTGGTCGGCCTACGTAATGTTTACGAAAGTTTAGGCCCAGAGAAGAAACAGAAAACGTTGGATAAGGCCCATCAAGTTCAAATCCTCATGGGCTCAAATTGCGTGTTTAGGTTAGTTGGGCCGCTTCATGGTCCAGCGTTGTTGTCAAATATAAACATTCTAAAATGGGAAACTTATAGAAATCTCAATAATTTAGGAACTAATTACTTAGTACACGCTAGTTTATAATATTATGAATCTTACAAGATTTTGATAAGTCCAGATATATGTACCTTTGGATATATGGGGTCAAAATTATGTGTAACTTATTCTAGATACACTATATCCAAGTGGATTCGCATGTATATGAGATACATAACAAATCTCGCTCGCTTCCCTCCCGTCTCACTCACCCCTCTCCTATTTATCTGGGTCTATCTCGTTCGTCTCTCTCCCTATTTTAGTTTATATGGTAGCAAAAATATATGTGCTTAGGTGTATTTTCTCAACATATGATAGGAAATTGTTAATTAGTGATAAAATATGTAGGCAAAATTAATATATCGATGTATGTCTAATAAGATAGCTTTCCCATCCAAATAAAGCCCACTTGAAAGAGAAAAATAAAGTCCACAATTGCAGCCAAGTTACCAATCAAAATTGAACTTATTCCAACAATTGATATAAATATATAATATTTATATATATATATATATTTTTATTTTTTTCATAATCTCATTTTGAAACACGAATCAGATTCATAAGGAACAAAAATTGCAAGAAGTGGTATCACTTGCATTACAAGTAAAAGATGATTGTCTTCAACAAATATTTTGGTACAAACATGATGACTATTGACTAGCAAATAACAAAGATTAATCGAATCAGTCTGGACTGTGTTGGGATGGTCGAAATCTCTTCATTCTTAATTAAACATCTTGTATTTAAGTCTTATGAATGAAATAAATCTTGTTGGGACTGTCATACACAGAAATGAGTCTTACAATGCGTAAATTCAAATTTAAATCAATCTCTAATATGAATTCCGAATACGATATTATCAAATTAATTAATTAAAAGTAGTAGGGGTGGGCAAGATTGGATCATGGAGGAAGGAAGAGAAAAATTGTCGCAGATGAGACTCAATCCCAAGATATTGTCACATGACAGGGTCTTAAGTCAGTGATTATTATAAACAAAAAAAAAAACATAGAATTAGGAATTAGTTTCAATATTAATATACATATCATATAGTTTAATATGTTACATATATATTATAATTGATCCTTTAGGCTCTAATAGCGTGCGAATATTCGATAATTGCGTCCGAATTATTATTTCGTCCTCATGGATGTATGAACACGAGAATCCAAATTATTTAATTAATTAATCGATATCTCTTTCCATTATTTTATTTCATTTGCATGTGACTTGTGCTTTGAATAACTCATGTTTGTTGGGCTCATGGCTAAGATTACCATAAAATTAATGTGTTTTTTTAAACTAAAATAACTTTTAAACAATCCAAAATGACTCCTTTTTTTCCCCTTAAAAATCTCAACTTGGAAATTTGAAAATGTGTACTCTAAAAGCTCTAAATTGAGAAAAAAAAAGTATATCTGAAAAACAGAAAAGAACAAAAAGATGGGGAATCGTGACTCAAATGTGAGTCATAATTTGGGTATACATTTTGAAAAAGGAAAGTTACATATCACAACTTATATGTAACTATATATATATTCGAAGTGTATAAATAATATATACTTTGATCATATTGATAAACTAAATAACAAAAGGTTCATTTTTAAACTCGATAGTACTCTTTTGTATATATCGCTATCTCACGCGACTCTAGTTTTATTTAATTGGATCTATTGCAAGAAATGTCTATCTCAACAATCTTAATTTAATTTATATAGGGGATACCATAGGGAGAAGCATCTATAAATGTGACATGATTTATGAAATACTATATTCCTCAAAATATTTGTCGTAATTCTAAAAAAATTTGTCCCAAATTATTTATTATACAATTTAAAGATAAAATTTATTACTTTTCTTAGTTTATTCTTTATAATTATTTTTGAAGATTACAAACACATCAATATAACATTTTTTAAATAAAAAGAGATGATATATTATGATGTAAATAAAGATAAAAAAATCTTTTAATAAAATATGATAGATAATTTAAAACGAAGCCAATGATATTTAGAAAGTAAGCATAAAAGCCTTTTATGGAGTAACCCAATCTCACTTGCATGGCCAAACTTTGTCATCTTTAGGATACCAAACCTAAGTTATTAATTTATATAACAAAAAAAGAAGGTATCTTTCTCTTGACCAAAACCAAAACCTTGGTAATTGTTAATTAATTTAATTTTTTTTTGGGGGTAACATGCAAATATAATATTGATCTTGGGCCGTGGGCTTTTTACAATGCAAAGGAATTGTTTGCTGGGGAGATTGTTGGTATCATGAGTGCTACAAATTTCAAGTAATTATTTAATTAAATTAAAGTAAAAGATTGGAAAGTTTAACTAACTCATCTCTAATAAAATTAGTGTTATTGGAACTCGTTCCCAACAAAAAAAAAAAAAGATTTATCCTCTGGGTTTTATTTAATCCAGGTTTATCTTGGAATAATCGCCTGTCTACGTT